CCTCCATCATCGCCATCACATCACCACCGCCACCATCATCATCTTCCTTCATCATCACCTCCACCACCGTCCTCCTCCACCACCGTCACCACCACCACCACCATCATCCTCTACCTTCAACCACCACCATCCTTATCCACCATCATTCTCCATCATCTCCACCACCACCCTCAACTGCCATCACTCTCCACCACCGCCATCGCCATCATCCTCCACCTTCATCCACCACCACCATCATCCTCCACCTTCATCCACCACCACCATCATCCTCCACCTTCATCCACCACCACCACCATTATCCGTCGCCACCACCCTCAACCACCACCATCTTTATCCACCATCATTCTCCATCATCATCATCACCCTCAGCTGCCATCACTCTCCACCACTGCCACCACCATCATCCTCCGCCTTCATCCACCACCACCATCATCCTCCGCCTTCATCCACCACCACCATCATCCTCCACCTTCATCCACCACCACCATCATCCTCCACCTTCATCCACCACCACCACCGTTATCCATCTCCACCACCCTCAACCACCTCCATCCTTATCCACCATCATTCTCCATCATCATCACCACCCTCAGCTGCCATCACTCTCCGCCACCACCACCACCATTATGCTCCACCACCATCACCATCATCCACCTCCACCACCACCACCCTCAACCACCACCATCATTCCCCATCACCATCACCACCACCCTCAACTGCCTTCGTCCTCCACCACCATCATTCCCCAGCATCACTACTGTTCTCCATCACCACCACCCTCAACTGCCATCATTCCCCACCACCACCACCGCCATCATCATTCCCCACCCCCCTCCCACCCTCTACCACCACCATTGTTCTCCACCACCACCAGCCTCAGCTGCCATCAATCTCCACCACCACCACCTCTGCCATCATTCCCCACCCCCCCCCACCACCACCATCACCACCACCACCGTTATCCTCCATCACCACCACCCTCAACCACTGCCATCATTCTCCATCACCATCACCACCACAACTGCCACCATCCTCCACCATCACCCTTATTCTCCACCACCACCCTCATCCTCCACCACCACCACCATCCTCCACCACCACCCTCGTTCTCCACCACCACCACCCTCAACTGCCATCAATCTCCACCACCACCACCACCATCTTCCTCCATCTTCATCCACCACCACCACCTTCAACCACCGCCATCATTCTCCATCACCACCACCCTCAACTGCCATCACCCTCCACCACCACCTTTCTCCACCACCACCACAACTGCCATCATCCTCCACCACCACCATCATCCTCCATCACCACCATCATCCTCCACCACCACCATCATCCTCCATCACCACCATCATCCATCACCACCATCATCCTCCATCACCACCATCATCCTCCACCACCACCATCATTCTCCATCGCCACCACACTCAACTGCCATCATCCTCCATCACCACCATCATCCACCATCATCCTCCATCACCACCACCCTCCTCCACCACCACCACCACCATCATTCTCCACCTCCCCACACCACCACCATTATCCTCCACCACCATCACCACCATCACCGTTATCCTCCACCACCACCACCCTCAACCACCACCATCATTCCCCATCACCACCAGCCTCAACTGCCATCAATCTCCACCACCACCACCTCCACCATCATTCCCCACCCCCATCACCACCATCATCCTCCACCACCACCCTCATTCTCCACCACCACCACCTTCAACTGCCATCAATCTCCACCACCACCATCACCATCTTCCTCCATCTTCATCCACCACCACCACCTTCAACCACCATCATTCTCCATCACCACCACCCTCAACTGCCATCATCTTCCACCACCACCAGCACCACCATTATCCTCCACCACCACCCTCAACCACCGCCATCTTTCTCCATCACCATCACCACAACTGCCATCATCCTCCCCCACCACCATCATCCTCCACCACCACCATCATCCTCCACCTCCACCATCATCCTCCACTGCCACCATCATCCTCCTCCACCACCGCCACCACCATCACCACCATCATCCTCTATCATCACCATCATCCTCCCGCACCACCCTCATCCTCCATCACCACCATCATCCTCCATCACCACCCTCATTCTCCATCACCACCCTCACTCTCCATCACCACCCTCATTCTCCATCACCATCACCCTCAACTGCCATCATCCTTCACCACCACCGCCACCACCATCACCACCATCATCCTCCACCACCACCATCATCCTCCACTGCTACCCTCATTCTCCCCCACCACCATCATTCTCCCCCACCACCATCATCCTCCACCACCACCATCATCCTCCACCACCACCCTTGTTCTCCATCACCACCACCCTCAACTGCCATCATCCTCCATCACCACCATCATCCTCCACCACCACCCTCATCCTCCATCACCACCATCATCCTCCACCACCACCATCATCCTTCACCACCACCATCATCCTCCACTGCCACCCTCATTCTCCCCCACCACCATCATCCTCCACCACCACCCTTGTTCTCCACCACCACCCTTGTTCTCCATCACCACCACCCTCAACTGCCATCATCCTCCATCACCACCACACTCAACTGCTATCATCCACCACCACCACCACCATTATCCTCCACCACCACCCTCAACCACTGCCATCATTCTCCATCTCCATCACCACAACTGCCATCATCCTCCATCACCACCATCATCCTCCATCACCACCACACTCAACTGCTATCATCCACCACCACCACCACCATTATCCTCCACCACCACCCTCAACCACTGCCATCATTCTCCATCTCCATCACCACAACTGCCATCATCCTCCACCACCACCATCATCCTCCACCACCAGCATTGTTCTCCATCACCCCGCACTCAACTGCCATCATCCTCCATCACCACCATCATCCACCTTCATCCTCCATCACCATCATCATCCTCCACCACCACCATCATCCTCCACCACCAGCATCGTTCTCCATCACCCCACACTCAACTGCCATCATTCCCCCCCCACCACCACCATCAACCACCACCATCCTTATCCACCACCCTATCATTCTCCATCACCATCACCATCACAACTGCCATCATCCTCCCCCACCACCATCATCCTCCACCGCCACCATCATCCTCCACTGCCACCCTCATTCTCCATCACCACCATCATTCTCCACCACCACCCTCGTTCTCCATCACCACCACCCTCAACTGCCATCATCCTCCATCACCACCATCATCCACCATCATCCTCCATCACCACCATCATCCTCCACCACCACCATCATCCTCTATCATCACCCTCATCCTCCACCACCACCATCATCCTCTATCATCACCCTCATCCTCCACCACCACCATCATTCTCCACCACCATCATCATCCTCCACCACCACCCTCATCCTCCTCCACCACCACCCTCATTCTCCATCACCACCATCATCCTCTATCATCACCCTCATCCTCCATCACCACCATCGTCCTCCACCACCACCATCATCCTCCCCCCCCCCCCCCCCCCCCCCCCCCCCCCCCCCCCCCCCCCCCCCCCCCCCCCCCCCCCCCC